TATATATATATATATATATATATATATATATTATAGTAATTAATTCTTATTGAAGAATGTTGTCTAGTTTCGGTCATACTATTACGGAAAACGTTAAGTGATAGAAAGAATTTGAAATTAATTACCTTATTGTCAACAGCTTTGGGGGTGGGGCAGTGGGGGTGGGGCTAGAATGGTGACGGCTATCTAGAAGAATCTTAATGAAGTGGACAAATAGTATAATGCATTAACTACTTTAATCAGATATGTATCTTATAAAAATACCGGCAGTGCATCTAGTTAATTATCCATTTAATAAAGAAGAATCTGAATGTTCAAAGATCCAGCTATTCATTAATGAGGCATAACTACTCAAACTCTGTAAAGATGAAGGAAGTAGGTTTGTCGCTTAAGCAGTATTTCAATATTAAAAAATGGGGTTTGCGATAGACTTGCCTCCACGTGGGGCAACTTGGCCAACATATACTCGTACGGCTAAAAAGGTCTATAATCCGGCAGTTGAATTCAATCTATCATGACTTGACTCTATGTCATGTTCGACCAATTTCACAGTACACACCTTACCCTTTTCTTTACCTTTGTGTCTGTCTGTTCCATTTGCATCCCTTAATCACTCTTCTGCTCCCCCTCTCCACTTTTAGTGACATTGATGTTGCTCCCTTCTGCGTAGCCCGAAGTCAACTGAAGGACTAATAACGACCACCAAAAAATGAACTATTTTTAAAAAATTAATCAATGAAACAAGATAGAATACGCGATAGATGCTTGACTGATTGTATAACAGCATGGGTGCTTCGGCGATGGCCTTACAGGTCTAAGTGGGATTGAGGATAATTCCAAAGTGCATGAATTGGTTTTTTTATGTGCAGGAGAGTTGGTGTAAGTAACAAAAAGCATTCGTTTGACAGGGGGGGGGGGGGGGATTCCCATTAGCTTTCTAGAATTCCATAGACTCTGAAGAGTTGATATAATCCTGTAACATTGATTACTCTAATGCCTCTTTTTACAATGTGACACGAACCCAATATCACTATGAAAAGGCATGAATTTGATTTAATCATAGTCTAGAATCTGAAAACATAAAATAATAAAATTCCAGGAGTGAATGGAAAGGGGATTCAAATAAAGGCATATAATGGCGTCAGCAGTTCTTTTCTATTTAAAATTTGGAGACTCTGAGTTGCCCTTGTTTTAATTAATAAATTAATTTTCCCGGTTGGCATAATTTCACTGGGTTTCTAATGCTTAGAACTGTTAGATATCTTAATCTAATCAAATAAATCGCATGAATCTTCCCACATCCATGCTTGTGGAGACGAGAATTATTCAAACTAAACAGTCTGAGAGGAGTTCCTATCATCCCTGAAATAATTCCATTGTTTCCACCGTGCTAAGCCAGTATATTAAGAAAAGAATTATAAATACAGTAATTTATCTTTCACTTAAAATTTTGCTTATGCTTTGCTTTTCGTGTATTTAAATTTGTTAAATATAGGGATGCGCAATAGACTTACCTCCACGTGGTGCACCCTGGGCAACGTACTCTCATACGACAAAAAAGTCCATAAACCGGCAGTCGACTTCTCACTTCAAACTTTCATGACCCCACAGTATGCCATATTCGACCCCTTCCATAGTACTCATCTTACATTTTCTCTGCCTTTGTGTTTGTCTCTTACATTTTTGAAGCACTCTTCTGTTCCCCCCCCCTCTCGACTTTTTTTCAATTTGATGTTCCTTCCTCTCTGTTAAGCCTGAAGTCGGCTAAAGGGCTAATGATAACCATCAAGACGCCTGCCATTTGATATAAACAAATAAATCTGTTAAATATTAGTGATATACAATTACAAAGTAATATGACTCGAGTCAAATTCAATCAGCGAGCAAAAATGGGCTATAATGAACAGTGAAATCAAATGTGAATATTTTTTTCGTCCTTTAGTCAAAATGACAAAGAGATGTGTATTATAAAACTGCTGATTTATCTAAAGGGCGGGAATATTGAAATTTGTAGATTTCACTCAGTAGTAGGAGGGCATGGTTTAAACCTCTAGCTGAAACGGTGCTGTTTAGTCCCACGGGATGCTCCAATTAGGGGCTGATTTTAAAAGGCGTATTTAACAGATCAATTCTTACTTAAATAAATGATCAAGATATCTGTATTTGAAGTGGTAGACATTTATTTAAGCTTGGCTTGTTAGGACATTCCTTTATGGGGAACACAACGCACTAATCCCTTACACATTCGGACATTTTGGAACGTGAGGCTGACCGCGTTGGGGAGTCATGAGTGCAGAAACCTCTCGATAAATCGATAATCAATAGTCATCACAGTGTTATCGTAACTAAACAGTAGTTATTGCTTAGGCTCCACGCCTTTTTATACGCAACCCAATACACACACAGCCCAAATAAATGTGTTCCACGCCATGCGCCTGGCTCCTTTATATCAAGGGTGGGGGGATAAAATAACTAAAGTCTTTATGCCGTCAGTAGACATTTTACGGTAATTTTTGAACAAATCTATAAACGTTTATGGTTGTTGGCATTCATCCAATCTAAAATGTACCATTAACAGTCATGAACTTTAAGTGGCTGGCAAGCTCAATACGCACGTGGATACAAATTCATATAATGGAAGCAGATTTGTCAAGGTATAATGATAGTGGCCAATTAACGTAGATTAATAAACGAGATTCGAGGAAATATATGGAATTGAAGAGAAACGATTCCCGAGTTCAGATAAAACTGAAGTTAATTTTGATATTCGAATTGCATATAAGCATAACATTCGGGAATCTATTATAGAGCCTTGAGCCATGATCTCCGCATAAAATCTTGGCTGTCTTTACGCCGATTTGAATACCTATCATCTTTCCCCCCGAATGACTGATTTCAGAACTGGATGTAAAAATATGAAGAAGTTTATGAATCTTTAAAAGCGAAATTGCGCGTTCTCATACTTATTTTCTTTTAATCTTGATTAAGTGCTTTCTTTCTTTGACCAAGAGGATGTCTCGACCTGTCATTTATGTTGGTGAGCATAAACATCACACCAACAGAGCAGACAAACCTGGCCAATGGCTTATGACTTCTCACTTGTCTGTTCAAAATTCAGCCCTATTTTTCTGTTTCAACCACATTTTTTCGAGGAAGACTTAGCTCGTACCTACAAAAGATTTAAATTAATCTTATTTCTATCTCATATTTAAATGGAATGTACTTTTCATGTAATGCAGCATTAATGGAATTAAGATCAATGCCAGATTAGTAGTGGATCACCTTCAACCTATTTCCGATTTGATCAATTCAAATTATCATTCGTGATTTGATATTTGCTGTCATCAGTAGGCCAGGCCCCCACAATGCAGAATAATTAGAAATAATGAAGTGAAAACGTTATAATTTACCAATCTGAAACAACAAATAAAATTTGAAAATTTAAGTTCAACTGGAGGGGGGGGGGAAGAGCATCGAAAAGAATCATCAATATGGTGAATTTATTTAATCTTTGGAATCGGGTCGCAGAATATTTGTTCTAATTTAAAATAGCGCCGCACTTTTAAAGAAAGGAAAACAAGCCACCCACAAGGCATTCCTGAAATTCAACTTGCAACCAAACTCTTTTTTAAAACTACTTACGATTTCTTTATAGAACATGTGGTTTTGAGCTTTGTACATCCGTTCTAAACGAAGTTTACACTAATCTAAATGTGTCCTTCTACGGTAATTGCACTCATATAACTAGGCTTTGAACTCCAGCACCACTTGTCGAGAATACAATTCAAGCATATGAACAAATGGATATATTTGAGGAGTTATCTCAATCGTCATATAGATCTAATTGAAAATTGAGCTTTTATTAGCACTTCACGTCCCCCCCCCCCTCCCCAAATTCGAAAACTGCGATCACTTCAATTTTAGTGTTTTCTACTTGAATATTGATTAGCAAGACTGACAAAATTGTGCTCAAGAGAGGCTAAGATAGAATGCGAATTTATTAGCATCATCGAGAAAGTCATTCGGAAAGGGGAGAACAGTTAAAGAGAGGCCGGGGGGGGGAAGTGCTTAGAGAATAAAAGACCGGCAAACAAGAAAAGGAGAAGAAAAATTGTTTGTCCTTTTATTGTGTAGCGCGTGCATAAATAACAGCAATTTTGTATAACACCGTTGATTCGTTATTCAGTTGAAGTGGTCAAGGGAAAAACACGAGGATAGGGAGAGAGAGAGGGAGGGAGGGGGGGGGGGGGGGGGGGGGGGGTAGAAGGAAATAGATTATAGGAGAGTACAAAAGGAAGAAATGGAAAAGAACTTTCGTCACCGGCCAATCAAAGAACAATAGGGAAGGGGGTATTGAGAGTGAAAAGACGACGAAATCCAAATCGTCCTAATCGAAAGGGGGTTTGGACAAATAAAGGAGGGAGACCAACAATAAGGTGACTAAAACGGTACAAAAAAAAAACAGAAAGCGTGACGATTAAGCAGATGAGTGGATTGTCATCATACATTTTCAGGAGACGGCATTGGGGAAACACATTGGAAGAGTGAGAGAGTTGGCTGTTGGAGAAAAGACATTTGTCTACTGCTGGTAGTAGTGGTGGTGGTGGTGTCAGCGATGGCTTCTAGCAGATACTACACTTCCTCTTCGGTCGTGTCTTCTTGGGGACTGGTGTTCGGTTGTTGATTTGGCGAACCAAGTCATTGAACACCTACAACAAAACAATTACTAGTAATCAGACATTGTATTAGTCAGTGAATCAAACATAATGGATACTGAAGTGTCAGTCATTATATTTAGCGCGGTAATTGTTACCTTTTAATGCTCGATCTTTAAGGAACATCTCAGAGTACTGTTTATAAACCGTTTGTTAACATCACGAAATACTCCTTTTAAAATGCATTAATTCATTTTTACTTATGGCTTAAAGTGACTTAATAAATATTAAGGAAACAAAATGTCATTGCATTGATCAAGGTCAAGGAATTCAACTCGTCTAAAAGCTTTATTTCAATCACTGTACAAATAGACACACAACAGCGTCTCCTACTGTTAATTGAGATATCCCCAGTTTCAAGTTGCCGACCCAATAGCCTGTACCACTTAACTACCAGCTCCGTTTTACCTCCAGGTTAAAGGTTGGAATAGAGTGAATACCAACACCCCGCTGAAACAATAGTGTGACTGCATTTGGTTGGAGTTGGTTTACAATGGACAATCGGCCTAAATTGAGCCCAGCCAATGGTGAAGCTACGATGGCAGAGTAAAGTGCTGGTCTGTTTGTCGATTAGAGAGCAGTAGCGCGACTGAACACATTCCTATAGTGTGTGTTGAAATCACGCGTTCCATCTCGTTACACCATCATAGATCAGATAACCGGGCTTCAAAACGTAATACTCTATCATCAGGCACTAACCTCGATCCATCTCATTTTAATGCGGCATTTTACCTATACACAGCAGTTTGAACACCCCTAACCAACCTTAATATTCAGTCGAAATTTCATTAATAAACGGCAGCATAAGTTGTGTACCAAGGAAGTTGAAATAAACCATGAAGCACGTTGAAATTATTTCGAAATCAAATTAAAGTAAGCTCCAGTTTATTATGATTTCAAGAGACTTGAAAACATCTACGATAGACACAGTTTCACAACTAAATTGTCATTAAGACCTCCTGAAAAGATCCACGAGTCGGACACTTACAGCAATTCGTTTCACGGAAATACAACCAACAATAGCATTAGAGATGGTGTGAAGACCCAGTGGTCGGTGATTTATAAAACACATTTACCAGCAAACCCACCGGAAAGACGAGGACATTATAGCCGACTTCTTAGCCCAGAAGTTGTACCACAATTGGGGCGTAAAGATGAGTTGAGAGAGCAAAGTAAATGGGAAATTAATAAAATAGATTTACAAGAACTCCTAGCCAACAGAATATTGAATCAATTGAAAATAAAACGGTTAAAAAGGAAATGTAAATTTATTTGAGAATAAATAAAAAGTCAGTTGATTTTATGACAACATGACTCCCATATGTGATAGATTGCCATGCATACACCCAAAGTAACATCCAGACATGTCTAGTTCCGCCCACTACCATCCATCCCGAGTAATCGATTTGATGGAAGTACTGAAAAATTATTTAGGCAAGATTGTAATTTTTAAAATATTTAAGGAATAAATAGACTTCTGATGGGCGAATTCCCGTTTCTGACCAATTATTAACCGAAAGCTCGAGTACTATAGCAAAAGATACAATGATACGGCATAGCTTTTAATTAAATAGATAATCCTAGAAATGCACAAAGCCATCCCCCAATAACAATAAGTTTCTGAAACGTGTCCCCGTATCATTAAATTATTTCATTAGATTCACTCGTTCTGTCTTTGGGGAGAAAAAAACCCATTCGATTAAGGGGACTTTTTGTTCCTTGATCAGAATATAAATGGTTAAAAGGAAATTGGCATTTAAGCAGATTCTGCACTTGCTTAAGTGGAGGCAATAAGTCTACCGAAGAGCAAAACTAGTGGACCGAATGGCCCAGAAAGAGGACAGGAAGTAGGACTTGATTGGTGTGTTTGAAGGCTGCTTGACATGGGAAGCAAGAACAGAGCTATTAATGCAGCCACGTGAGCTCCTTAAAAAAAGGCCATAAGTTTGCTCGACCTTGAAAAGTAAACTGGAAGTAGAAGACAGAAGTGTCACGATATGAGCTGGCTTCAAAATTTAGTCCCCCCACCACCCTTATATCAAGCGGTCGATAACATAAGCAGGATGGTGCATATTTCTCTGTGCAACATTAATTGTGAAAAGTTGCCATTTTGCAATATACATATATATCACAGACAAATAAAATCTGCCTCAAATTAGCAATCTCTCCCTCAACATATTTAAATCAACGGACATAATGACGTAGGGCGGAGTTAACTAGGCTGACACATGTTTACTAAAAAAAGAAGGCCGTAAAAGGAGAGCAAAGAGGGGGGGGGGGTAATTATTAATAGACCAACATGAGCTTCTGGTAGAGAAGGGGTATTTATTTATATCAAATGGCAGGCGTTCTGACAGTTATCATTAGCCCTTTAGTTGACTTCAGGCTTCACAGAGGGGAAGGAACATCAAAGTGGAGAAAATTCGAGAGTG